TCCCGTCGTCGCCAGCACCCCTGCCACCCAGAACCCGCCCACCGTCCAGGCCACCAACCCGCCTACTGTCACTGCCGGTGCCGGCCGTCTCGGTGCTGGTGTCGGCGCTCTGATCCTCGCCGCCGCCTTCGCCATGGCTCTGTAAACGCAGCCCGGTGAATGCAAGGGAATAGTGCCGCGCTTGTTGCTCCAGTGCAACCCGAACGCTCCTCATGGACGAGTCTCGCTCGAATTGATGCGTCTGGCGAACTGAGCAGAGTGCCTGCCCGGAGTTATGGGGGTCTTGATTTGGTTTTCTAGAGCAAAAAAATTCGTTTCTGCTTGATCGTTGTACAAGAGATAATTTATTGGTTACTTGTATTAGCAAGGTCGAAAATCTTTAGAGGAGGTTAATAATAAGGGGTTCATTCTTACAACTGTCACAATTGACTGCTCGCTCTCGTGTCTGCGTGCTGTGAATCTCGTGGGAGGCAACTCAGGCTTTTCGGACTATTGTATCACACAAATACTGACTTTAAGCAAATACTGTGCCGCTTAGCGCGCTTGGTATGTCCGTAGCGATGGAGCCGTGTATATTTGTAAACAGTAATGTACCTTGTGATCAATTCAGGTAGTTACAAATAAGACCTAGCCTTTTCCGCCTATTGGCGAGCCGTGCTGGGGGTTCGAGTGAGCTACATCCCAGCTAACACAGTATTCACAAGCGCCGTGCTTAAGAAGCTGACCAGCATTGCGGGAACCAGACCACTCAACCGGCCTCGGGATTCAACATGACATATCCTTCGTGGTTTCGACCCTCCTCATGACAATATTCTTTCCGAAGCATCCAGGCGCGAGCGGACTTCACGCACAAGAGCCTTGGCCTCTTCCACCTCGACACCGTCCTGGCAAAGCTCCGTTGCGAGCCGGTGAGCAACTGTATAATCCGAGGTGCGCATAGCGAAACGGGCCAGCCACATGCGCGCCTTGCTTGTCGCGGCTGTGACACCCGTCCCCTCAGTGCGCCCTTCCTCACGCTCGCCATCGTCTGATCCTCCAGGCGAGTCATTCTGCGAACGGGACGGGTCAATAGCCGAACCGTCTGCATCTCTGCCCGCCGGGTTGCCGCCATCCTCTTGCCCTACGCAAAGTTCCATGTATGACTTCGCTTCCTCCTCCTCGCCAAGCTGCTCGTACATGGTTGCAATCTGCAGGAGAATTTCGGGATCCATGTGTGCTGTCGCCGCGTGTGAGCCGAAACCACCATTGTTGCCAAAGCTACTGCCAGCATCGTAGTAGGCATCGGCGAGCAAAGCACGTTTCAGGGCTTTGATGCCATCGCGGTCTCTCCCCATCTTTTGCAAGCATGATCCAACAGCCATCCACATCTTGCCGTCCCACGGCCGCAGACCCGCGGCTTTCTTGTAGTACCAGAGCGAATACGTGTGCATCTCGAGCATTTCGTATGTCTGACCGAGTCCATACCAGGCACGGTAGTCGCGTCGGTTAACATCTACTGCGCGGCGATATGATTCAATGGCTGCGTGCGTATTCTTGAGCTCGACATATTCGTGACCCATCAGCGTCCAGGCTGACAGACAAGTTCTGTCTAGCGTCAAAGCGCGGCGAAAATACTGGACGGCCTTCTCGTGCATGGAGAGCAGCGAGTAGTAGTTTCCAATGACGACGCAAGATTCTGGCCGAAACTTGTCCACACTCGAGCAAAGATGTGCTAAGAAGGCGAGTTTCGGTCGAAGATTCAGAACGTACAGAATATTAGAGTAGTGATCCAAGGAATCTAGGCGATGTGGGTGCAAGGAGAGTAGGCGGCTAAAGTGTTGTTCCGCTAACAGAAGATCCTTCTCGTGATATGCCAACAACGCATTACAAGTGAGAAGAAAAGATGAGGTTGGGAAAATAGCCATAAGCTGCTCGAGTGAGGTGGCCAGGCTTGCTGAATGTTGGTACAGCTCGAGCGACGTATGTAGGTGGAACATGTATGACATGATATTCTGCGGACAGTGTCGAGATATTCGATCCAACTATTCAAAGTCAGCTTTTGTCTTCATTTATAACGGGGTACGCACGTCTTCGCTCCTCGCGGTCAGTGATGTAATTTCTAGCCAGCAGCCCCAGTTCATGGGAAACTTGTGCACACTTTGCAGAAAGAACCCGAGAGCCCTTTTGTCATTCTTTTCTTTGGCAAGCACCATACCGTATCTAACAGGAAAGTTAACACCCTCACACGGACATGGGAAAACATGGCGACGCACAGATATTCCAACCAGCCCTGGCTCCCGACCACTTCATTATCAACAGTCTTTGCTTCAAACCACGATGCCAGATAGCTTCCCACCGCGAGAAGTTGTTTATTCACAACAGTGCCGAGATCCTGCGGCCCCGTCACCATTTCGGAATCTTCCGCCTTTCGCTTCTCGCCCGAGAGAAACTTGGCGTAGAGGGCGAGAAACAGGCTCTTTTGACTCATCAGCGGCAAGGGAGAGACAGGCCTGGCCTCTGCCGCTTTCGCTTTGCTCTTGCTCTTGCTCGGCGAGCTGCTGCCCACGTCTGTCCGCGAGCCGAGCACGGTGGAGAAGAGAGCGTCGGGCAGGAAGATGGCGGCGCAGCGGTCATACTCGCGGCAGTCAAAGAGCGACTTGGCGAGGAGATACCTGCTCAGCTCCCTGGATTCGAGCCGCGCCTCCTCCGGGTCCTGGTTCGGCAGGAAAACGGGGGACAGGTGTGGCTGCTCGACGTCCTCGTTTTGCAGCTCCTCGTCTGTTGGGTCAGGGAGCGATGTCAACAGCTCCGCCGCCCTGCGTTCGCATCAGCCACAATGTCGAGGGGACGCCTGAAGGCGGGAAGGAATGCATACCATTTTGCCGATTGATACAGGCAGCGCTCTGAGCATCTTACTACCGCATCTTGTAGTGCGACTCGCAATTGCGCAAGCTCGTGAGCTGTGAGTGCCATGGTACCTCTGGTGGTTGCACACCAGAAGCCAAACCCGTAAGAAATGCCGTCGAATTGCTGTAATCGTTCCAAGGTGCAACTAGAGCTACGAAATTATAACACGCTCTCTCCGGTTCGATTTTTGGCTTTGATTTGGCGCAGTTCTTGACGTTTAAACCAGGCCCGCCGTTAGCGAAGTTGTCGCGATCTGCCTGTTTGGAAGCGCGTCACTGACAGTGCGAATACTACCTATGCACTGTATTTTACACTATGCACTTACACTCCCCGTCACTCCTTCCTCTGAATCCCCCAATAGTGGCGGAATGTAGAAAACTACAATAAGTATTGAGATGAAATTCAATTACGCTTGGATAATAAAGTCACTCAAGTATACCACTGTTTTGATAACATTGTGACGTTGAATTATGATAAAATTGATATTGTAGAATAAAACGAGTATTGTTATGCGCTGTACTCCAGTCCCAAAGATTTCACTAAAATTACAAAATTAGAAAGAGAAACCAGTTGAATACAAGTCAATCAATTCCCAAACACCAATAACCCAAAACAAAACAGAACAAGTCCAGGCTGCGAGAAACAAAGAGATGTCATGGCGGCAGTGGTCTCACGTACCATGACAAAAGAAACATTTATACTCATTCCATGCGCTAAATCTGCCTAGGTGAAGGCTGCACAGCCGGTCCACGCTGCCGCGGTGAATGCCGCGGCTGGACAGGCAACGGCACCGACGGCGCCTGTGACGCCGCATCTCCGTTCATCGGTCGAGAGGGAAGAGACGGCACCGGTGGCATATTTCCCAGCTCTTGACGTCTAGGTTGACCATTCCCGGCCGTAGAGCGACTCCGCGGCCTCAGTCCACTTTGCGGCTCCGCGGACGCCAGGTTCCCGGTGTTGGAGCGCGGCATGGGGCGGGCTCTCGGCGCAGAAGGCATCATTGGCGTCCCAGGCAAGTTGTAAACGGGTGGCGGCAGCCCATTCGGACTCGTCTTTGGCGGCGGAATACCGAAATGCTCAAACGGCCTCGGCAGCTCCAGAAAGTGCGTCTTGATGGGAGGCGGTCGGTTGGGTCGTCGCTGTCCATGCATGGCGGCGTCTGCGGTCGCTGGCCGCCGCACTGGAGGGGGCTCGTCCTTGCGCAGCTTGGCAGTGTGTTCAGCCGCAGAGGGAAACCATGATGTGGGCTCAGGTTTCCGCTTCTCCTCGGGGACGTCGAAAATAAAGGCATCGAATTCGAGTCCGGTCGAGTTGGCCTGCGGGCTCGTCTGTAAGCGATCCAGCCGGAGACCAGGTGATGGGTGATACATCGAGCTCGGCGACACACCAGGGCTCTTATCGGTATCGGCCCGCTTCAGGCTCGGCCTGGCCGCCTGGTCTTTGGCCTTGGGAGCAGGCGTGGCGGGTGGCGGAAAGTCGGGCGGCGGCGGGCGCGCGTCGAGCTTCCCATCAGGGGTGGCCGGTTCTGGTGGCGCAGCCGGCAGCAGCTTTCTCGCCTCTTCGGCCAGCTTGGGGATATTGTCCAGATCTAGAAGCGGCTGGAAACTGCCAATGCGAAAGGATGGGGTTGCGCTGGACAGCGCAGAGTCAGCGTTGGGCTGATCGGCCGCTGCGTCCAAGCCGTCCGCCGAGTCGAACGTGAGTTGCGGTGCTGGCGCATTCATTTTCCGGTCGAGGGCGAGCTTTCTGGCCACGAGTAGCCAGCTGCGCCATCCATGGACCAATTCGTAAAACTGCGTGGCAACCTCTGCGTTGTCTGTAGAGAAGAAATGGACGAAGTTGACCTCATCAGAGAACTGCACGCTTTTCTGCTGACTCTTGATCGCATAGCAAAACTTCTTGGGCGGCTTGACGCTCTGTCGGATTTCGGTCTCTTTGGGCGTGTAAATGTCAAAGTCGGCCATGTGACAGAGCTGCACGCAAGTGGCATCGCCAGGCAGCGCATCGGCCGTCTTGGCGGAATACATTTGACCATTTTCGAGCAAGGTTATCCAGCGCTTGTTCCATTTGCCGGGGCGTGAAGATTGATACAGCTGCAGATTGAAGCCAGGCGGGTTCCCGTTGGAGTTGGGAACAGCGTCAAGATCGAGATCGTGGTCGCTCATGGAGGCGGGGCAGCCCAGAATCAAGAGAGAGTTTTCATGGTCCTTATCCCAGCTGTTCATAACATCGCGGATACGCTCATAGCGCCGCAGGCGACGTTCGAGTCCCATCATGAGGTACGACTCAACAACGACGCTGTTGGCGGGGTTAATGTGATGGCGCATCATGGTTGAGGCCATGAACAGAATGTCCACTGCGTTGGTTTCGCTAGCAACAGGGAGGCTGATCGTGGACGATTGGCATCGGACAGCAACACGCTTTGAATTCTTGTTAGTTTCCTATGCTTGAGCACCGCAGACTGGCACTTACGCGCTCAAAAGTTTGGGAAGCATGCATTACCGGAGTGAGTTCTGGGGTATGACTAAATAGGCTTGGGGTTTCCATGAAGTCCGAAAACTTGGTACTGTCAGGGTTGGAAGTCGTCTCCAGACTGTTTCCACGACTTGTGAAGACAGTTGTAGCAAATGAGCTGGGGGTATCTGGGTGCAGCGTCGGCGTCGGCAGCTTCCTGCTCCGTGAGAATAAGTTGAACAGAGACGGCTTTGACTTTGGGGGCGGCGTGACGAGCGTGGCTTGGAGACGCGCGAGGTCCTGTCTCTTCTGATCGGCGATGATGCGCTGTGCCTCGCCCTCTAGGCGCTCAGGATCCGGCAGCTCGTTCTCAACCTCTTTCCTGCCAAACAGCATCCGCTTCGATTTGCTCCTGGCCTGCTGCAGGGGTGACGCAGGTGACTCGTCCAAGGGCTCGGCCGTGTACTTGTCATGCACGTCGCCCTCGCCCTGGAGGGGGTTGGCACTGCCGGGCCTTGGGCTGTCGTCGCATTTGTTGAATGTGGGTGGCAGCGGGATGTTGACTGGTTTCGGTGTAAGTGCGTAGGATGGCAGCGCGGGCACATCTGGCGCGCTCTTGTCGCCGCCTCGTCTGGCCCGTAGAGTGTGGACGCTGCTCGATCGCAGCCTGCGGATGGGCGATTCCTCCGACTTGTCGGTGTCGCGGAAAATATCGAGAACGCGAGGGGAGGAGATGCTTTTGCCCCGAAGCATGCGGTATCGTGAAGTAGACTGAGGAAGCGCCGCGGCGGCCGCCTCTGTCGCCATTGCGATGAGGGGTTGGTCAAGTTTGGATTATGGGCGTTGTCTCTTTTCCGCAGGGTATGCTGTTTTCTTTCGATATTTTCGGTTGTTTTAGGTGTCACGGCGATCTTTTGGCGGTTGGTCGTCTCGAGGTTGCGATCCGTCGATAGAAAGCAAAGACAGTTCGGCCTAGTGCTTGTAGAAGAGATCGGTCTGCGGGACTAGGCGACTCGCACAGACTGTGATGGCGTTTAATTGCAGATATACTGGAGTAAAACTATTGAATGAGAGGGGCTGTTCAATAAAGGACACCGGGGAGCCGTCTCCACGGATACGCAAGTCAGGGAGGGCAATTTTGAGAAAGGAAATCGTACGACGAGGGCTGCCACGAAGAAAATGACAAGAAAAGGAAGGAAGGGAAGAAAGGAAAACGATCGTGAGAGCGGGCTTTTTCGAGTGTAATTGGCGCCAGCCAGTAGAGTTGGGGGGCGGTACGCGGCCATGTTCAAGGGTATTTTCTTGTTTTTATTGTTATCCCACTTCGTTCCTCGTCAAGAGTCAAGACACGTTTTGTCGCTTACAAGATTCCAGAGTCAATGCTGGCTCACGCGCCAAGCTCCGGGGGCGTGGACACGGCTTTGTCTCAGTGCCGTGAGCGACGCGCCACTGTTACATTCCGACGACGAACAAACCTTGTCTAGTTACAGTCTAGACGATTGGGGCGATGGCGTGCAATAGCAAGGGGACCCCTGGCGCAAGAAAAGGGAAAAAAGCAACGATTCTGGCACCGTCGTACCGAATAATTCGTATGCAGGGAGAGAAGTTAATAAACCTACGACATTATTTCAATGCCGTGGCGCAGTTGTACCCGCAGGTAGCATCAGCTATACATACATCTCATTAGAAAAAAACGATAAACAATAAGCAGATATTGGAAAACAACTAGGAAATGAGAGGTAAACGCACCGTTGGCTGCCCTACCTCACCGCGGCCGGCAAGATGCAAGGTGAGGCGTTGCTGCACTGGCAGGCATTGGCTGCCCTATTGGGACTAATAATCGATATACTATTCTTGGCTTGGATCCCTTTTGTCGATCGCGACGCGTATCTGCAGCTGGTATCGCACTTTTTTTATTGAATATAGTTGAACCGGCCGCAAATGAGCAGCAGAGACATGCAGGTCTGGCCCGTCGAGTGAAACATCCTTCGAGGCTGCCGCACCACAGCGTTCCTTTTTCCATGCGCTAACATGTACTGCGTAACGGCAAGTCTTGGAGCTGCCAAGATCGGGTGAGTTGTTGATTTCTAGCAGTATTGAAAGCCGCCTGTGGTGGCCCCATCGTTTCCCTCACGTATAAATCTGTGCATTCCAGTCTTTTTCCCAATCTCCCAAAAAACACAGTGACCGACCCATGACCCTTCCCGGTCTACCCAATTGGACACTTTTGAGTGGCTGGCCGTCTGATCCATTCGTACTTACTTACGAAATGCCCCCAGCTCGCGCCTCCACCACGCAGTAAAGTCGCAGGTGGACAGGTCAATGTCGAGACTCTTGAGCGTCTTGGTGCTGAGGTGGGTATCATATGGACGCTGCACGGCTGCATTGGGGTCGTTTCCTTCTGTGTTGGGCTCGATGTTGTCCGCCGGTAGGCCCATAATCTCCGCAAACTTTTGGCACATCTCGTACTTTGTCATCCGATCTTCGCTGGAGAACTGCAAGATCTTTGGCAGCGAGGCTCGGTCAGCAGCACCCAGGTAGTGCTCCGCAATATCTACACAAAACGAGAACTGATATTAGCCTTCCTCACTGAACTTGAATCGATTACGCTTGCTCCGGTGTGCTGATCCCGCTTTTGCAGGAATTTTGCGCCGGCTTCTTTTCCTTTTGAATAATGGGACACGGTGGGTTTGACTGTCAGACAAGTCATAAACGGCCCACGCGCGCAAAAAGAAATGAGGAAAAGACAAAAGTATTGTGCGCCGTTCTTTGAGACATACCGTGACACACCCGGGCTGCATCTTCGGTATTTGTTGGATAGCGTGGAGCCCAGTGATCCATCTTAAATCTCTTGTCTTCTGTCTGAGACTTCCAGACGGAGTCGAGTAGCACATTGACGGCGCTCTCGGCTGGCGTCTCCGCTGATCCATATAGCACAGGGACGCGGAGCACCACGGCCGATCCGGGCTTGCCGCCATCCGCCATCAAGGCCGCCTTTTCACCGTCCAGCTTTGTTTGGCCGTACAAGTTGGGCGGGCTTGTTTCTGAGTCGGCCTCGTACGGCGCCTCCCCGAGCCTTCCCGGAAACACGTAGTCGGTCGAAATGTATATCAGGAATGCACCCTTGGCTGCGGCGGCCTGCGCCAGCGACGATGTTGCCGACACGTTGAGTTTCCTGGCACCTTCGGGATCTTTCTCTACTTTGTCGGGGAAACGCTCTGCGGCGCCTTGGGACAAGGTTAGCTGGTCAGCGGGGCGGGTGAAATTGATGAATGACCGGCTCACAATGAACAATAACCTCTGGGCTAACATGTGCGAGTTTAGTATTGCGTATTTGTCATAGTTACTTTCTTGATGCTCGTCACTCACTTCGTCTCCTCCAGGAGCTTGTCAATCTCACTGGCGTTGCCAAGATCTACTTTCAGTACATCAACGCCGTCGGCTCGCGAGAGACCTGTGCCTTTGACGTTCCATCCCTTTCTTCGGAATGCGCGAGACACTTGTCGGCCAAGAAGGCCGGTAGCTCCAGTGACCACAACTGTGCGATCTACCATTTCTGCGATTTGTTTGTTTGGTGTGTTTGCAGGTGTTGAGTTGGTCTGTTACGAAGGGTTAAAGGGCTAAGTGGATGACGTGGGAAGTGGTGGGGTAACCAGCTTCAAAACCAGCTTTCGCCTATAGCACCGTGTAAGGGGTTGCTCAACGCACTACACTCCTGCGGGACAAATAAACAACGCGAGAAAAGACGAGGCATAAGATAGAAACCAAAGAAGATTAAAGACGAAGAGTTTCGCCTCAGGACAAGAGAGCAAACGAGATACTCGCCGAATGTAATAACGTACAGGGTAGCCTTATCTGATAAGAGCTCGATTTGCTAGCGGCGATTTTGTCTAACGCGACGATCCAGCTTCTGAGACCTTCAAACACTTTTCACAAGTACATACCACTCCGCAAAATGCCTCCGAAGCGCATGACAGCGAACCCGCTGAAGCCTTCGCGGCATAGAGCGGGCAAGCATACAGGCGCCGAATCCTCCTCCGACAGCGACGCCGACGAAGCGACCACCGCGCCCGCCGCACCCATCCCGCCACCGCCCAAGGCCGCGAGCGCGGGCAAGATCATCAGCAACCTGAGCAAGGTCGACCTCAATGCGCGCCGACAAGAAGCGCAAGTCGCCGAAGCACAACGGCTGGCCGCCGAAAAAGCAGAACGGCTCGCTGCCGAGGCCGGCTTTGTCACCGAAGATGAGAGCGGCGCGGACGACGGCGGCGGCGGCGGCGCCCAGGACGAAGCGGACGAGTCCGACGAGGAAGAGTCGTCCGAAGAAGACGAGGAGAGCAGCGAGGAAGAGGCGCCCCGCCGGATGATGCTGCGACCCAAATTCGTGCCCAAGAGCCAGCGCGGGGGCGGCGGCGACGGCCAGACCCCCGCCGAGGCAGAGGAAGCGGCGCGGCTCGCCGCCGAGACCGCCCGGAAGCAGGCCGCCGACGCGCTCGTCGAGGAGCAGATCAAAAAGGACCTGGCGGCGCGGGCGGCGGGCAAGAAGCACTGGGACGACGACGAGGACGCGGCGTCGGACGTGGACACGACGGACGGGCTGGACCCGGCGGCCGAGGAGGCGGCGTGGCGCGTGCGCGAGCTCAAGCGGCTGAAACGCGCGCGCGCGGCCATTGAGGAGCGCGAGGCGGAGCTGGCCGAGGTGGAGCGGCGGCGGAACCTGACGGCGGAGGAGCGGGCGGCCGAGGACGCCGCGTTCCTCGCGCAGCAGCAGCAGGAAAAGGACGCCAAGGGCACCATGGGCTACATGCAAAAGTACTTCCACAAGGGCGCCTTCTTCCGCGACGAGGCCGAGGCGGCCGGCCTGCTGCAGCGCGATCTCATGGGCGCGCGCATCGCCGACGACGTGCGCAACCGCGAGGCCCTCCCCGAGTACCTCCAGCGCCGCGACATGACCAAGCTCGGCCGCAAGGGCGCCACAAAGTACAAGGACATGCGCACCGAGGACACGGGGTCCTGGGGCGCCGACAGGGACCGGAGAGGAGGCGCTGGCGGCGCCCGCGGCCGCTTCGAGGATGACAGGTTCAGGACCGAGGATGAGCGCTTCCGCCCGGATGACCACCTCGCCGGCGGCAAGGGCGCGAATGCAATGCCGCTGGGGGAGAGGCGACGGGATGGTGACGGCAGGCGGTCGCGGTCGCCGAGGCGCGAGGGGAGGGACGAGGACCGTGGGAGCAGGAAGAGGAGCAGGTCGCGGGAGCGTGGCGAGGACAAACGACGAAGGGTGGAAGCAGACCGGTAGTCTGCGTGTAACTATATTTGAATCTCTTTTTCTTTGGTTGGGTGTTGATTACTTTAGCGTTGCCCTGCCATATGAAAACCAATATGTGCAAATATCAAAAACAAACCGAACCCATTCACTTTATCAAAACCTTATATGAAGACACCAGACAGATTTTTAAAAACCCAATGTAGCAAAGTCACCCCCAAAGCTAAAATGATTTGCACCCATGCACGCTCGAGCCCACTACCCAAACGCTTTCCCCAATGCTTTTCATATCCTCACAATTTCCACCTTGGCTCGCTCAAAGACGCAGTGACCTTGTAGGCCGTCGCCCTCAATCTTGGGCGGGTGCAGCGTCATACGCGCGTACGTGCCGGCGCCGCGGCGCTTGGACAGGTATCCGGGGTTAATGGCGAGCACGCTCTCCACGACCTAATATCAGACTTAGCATCCATAAAATCAGGCTCACTTTTCTTGTTTCCTCCTGCCATGTACATACCTTGGCAAACGGCGGCAGCGCGCTCGGCGTCAGCATGACGTCCGGCCGCACATTGACCATTTCGCCGAGCTTGAGGTAGCTGAGGTCGAGGACGGCGCCGGTGGCGAGGCCGTCGTCGGTGCCGGTCCTGGGGAGGCGGGCGCGGTCGGTCGGGGGGTAGACGGGGTAGTAGTGGCGCTGCTCGACCAGATGCCTGCACAGACGCGCCGTCAGGTCGCCGGGGGCGGCCCTGGCCAGCTCCTCGGCGTAGAGCGCCCACAGCGCGTCCTGGCTGGAGACGGCGAGGACGACCTCGTTGACGGACAGCGTCATGGGGTTGGACACGATGCGCACGGCCTTGTGCAGGCCGAGCGACTGCCGCGAAAAGGCCTCTTGCGGCCACGAGACGTGCTTGGCGAGCACGTCGCGCACCGACGGCACCAGGACGACGGTGACGTGCGGGCGCGTCGTCGCGAGCCGCGTCAGCGCCGGCGCCACCAGGTGCCGGAACACGGTCGCCATGGTGGCCGCGTCCGCGTCGGGCAGGTCGGCCGGCAGGTCAAAGTCGCCGGCGGCGATGAGCGGGTGGTCGGCGTCGAGGAAGGGGCCCGCGAGCACGAGCACGTCGGCGTGCGTGTCGGCCGCCTGCTCGCACAGCGCGTGCAGCGGCGCAAAGTCGAGGTTGTCGTCGGCCGTGTACGGGCCGGCCGCGAAGAACAACGTCAGCGGCGGCGCGGGCGGCGTGCCCTCCTCCTCGTCCACCGTCATGGCGTCTGGGTCGCGCACGCGCATCCGCTCCTCGTGCGCCGCCAGCGCCTCGCCCGTCGAGGCGGCGTTGGGCAGCAGCGGGAGCGGCAGCAGCTCCTGGACCACAAACTCGTTGCCCGTCGCGTTGCTGCCGCGCAGCGCGAGGATCTGGCCCGGAAAGACGCTCCAGGCGGGCAGGGCCTCGAGGTTGAGGGGCACGCGGAAGCCCATGCCGGTGCGGCGCGACGTCTCGAGCACCAGGCTCGCCGCGTTGAGCCGGCCCTCGGCCGCGTCCGAGGCCACGCGCCCCACGGCGACAATCTCCGTCGTGCCCTGCCGGGCGGCGTTGCCAAAGACGTCGTCGTCGAGCTTGTGGTGCTGCTGCACGAGCGTCGCCACGTCGTCGATGCGGTCGTCGAGGATCTCGCTCGCCTCGGAGAGCTTCATCGCCAGCGGCTTGTACGCCATCTTCTTCTGGTCCGACGCCGCCGTCAGCTTGACGCGGGGTTCGGGGTACGGTGCCGCCGGGGGCGTCGCCGACGCGAGCTGCCCGTTGAGGACCTCGAGGACCTCGCCGGGGTTCGGGCGATCGTTAAACGAGCTACAGAGGCGAAAAAAAAAAAACAATACTGTTAGCTCACACGGGTTCCTGCGAAGGGGAAGTTTGGTGTGACGGGAACGCACGGTAGGCCACCCATGTCGGCGAGTTGCTCGCTCATGCCACCGACCGGCGAGCTCGAAATCTTAGACGTCTCCATCCTCCGCCGCAGCGCGCTGCCACCCGCGCTGCCTGGCGCCACCCTCCTGTTGAGCTTGGAGCCCGACGCCGGCGTGCTCGGCATCAGGCCGTCCAGCATGCCGTACATGTCCCCTCCCGCGCCTCTTCCACTGGCGGCCCTCGGCGTCGACGCGACCCTTCTATCCGCCTTGGGCTTGACAGCCGACGCGGACCCGGCCAACGGCGCCGTGGCCGCCGTGGCCAGCGCGTCCAGCATGTTCTTCTTGAGGTTTCGCACGTTGTCCAGCGTCAGGGCGTCACCGGCGTCGACGTCCAGCTTGATGCAGTACGACTCCCATTTGTAGAATAGGTCCTCGGCTGAGATGCTGTGCAGGCGAATTATTGACTGTAGCTCAGCCGCCACGTCGGGCTCAATGGCCTTGCCGGCGGCGAAGAGCTGTTGGAGCTCCGCGTCGGCCATGGCGTGGGGGCGTCGCGTCGTCGTGGCTGGCCTGGGATGGGGGAGACCTTTTGTCAATAAATCCTGTAGTAATCGGTCGGTCGCCTTGTCGCTTGTGCGCAGACCTGTGTTGAGTCTTGCGAAGATGTAAAAGCTCGGGTGTGGGGTGGGAGACGCGGCGAGACGCGTCTTGCCCGTGTTAATTGAAACCCCACGTTGATGACTCCGTACCTAGCCTGCCGTCCAGCACTACAGCACTACATATCTAGCTACCTAGGTAGGGTCGCCAATTGCTTCACATAATAACCATCAGTCTTTCGAGGGGTGGATAAAATAACGTCGGAGGTTTTGAATTAACAAGATATGTAACTCTAAGCAAAAAATATTTCTTAAAACGCCATATCCGATGCTCAGTATCTAAGCTCGGTAAATCCTATGCCAACAGCGGCCCAATGTGCCATAAAACGCCATGACTTCCAACTCCATGTTCAAAATAATTGCAAGTATGCAGATGACTGCTCATGATTCGCTCAACGATAGAAAATATGTTCAGAGCAACGCCAATATTTATTCGTTGTCCCCTTCAGTCGGGGCGTCCATGTTCCATTGCGCCCAAGAGGCTTCGTAATCAAAAGAGACTGACCCATTTCTAGGGGGTGAGCTCGGCATGATTCCGTCGGTGCTGAGGAGGTTGCCAAACTCCAAGAGGGTGTCGTGGCTGCTCTCCATCGCAGGCAAGTTGCTGAGATCCAACTCGCTGTCAAGGTTGAAGCCGTTCGGGTCCGACATTAATTGGTTGATTGTTCTTGAAATTGGCGTGTCAAAGGGGTCAAACGCGTTCTGGTGGTTTCGAGGGCTCCGTCTGCGGGTCATACTTCCTGGGCCGCCACGGATGGAGCGTGGCGTCTTGGTCGGGGTGGCCTGTAGGAGAGCGAGCTGGCTGGGCGAAGAGACAGACCGCACGGTGCGCAGAGACCGCGACACACTTCTGGTCACTGGTCGATGGCTCGGCGCCGCATGGGTAGGAGTCTTGAAGGGCTCAGCAGCGACAGAGGCCTTCGCATTCGGAGGCGTGCCTGGGCGCCCAATCGTAGGGCTGCGGAAGAGGGCTTCTGGGTCGTTGCATTTCAGAAGACCGTCGTCAGTGACAAATGGCAGGTTCTCCTTCTCGAGCGCAATATCCCTGGTCTGGCGGTACATGTCATCGGTCATGACAACATTAATGTCAGCAGTGCCGAGGACTCTGGGCGTACCAGGCTTTCTCGGTGAAGGGAACAGAAGTCGTTTCGTTGTGCCCATAGCCTGATCCATGTCGACATCAATTGGGCTTCTCGCCGTACCGTCGCCGCTAGTAGCAGAGTGTGTCGATCCCGGGATGGATTGTGTATCCATAGCACCGCCATCGGCAGGGAATACATCGCCCCGAGTCCCCTCCATAGCTGTGCTTGAAATACCGCTAGGGCCGTATTTTGGCGAGGAGGGTTCAGGCGGGCCCATGACATCTGTGTGAAGATAAGCCTCCGATGTTGGATTGGGCACACCTTCTGCCTTAGCTCGGCCCTTCTTGGAGCGAGCAGCGCCCCCCCTCTTCCGGCGTTCTTGACCCCGGCGAGAGGCATCCTTGTCCCATCGCTGGGGAGGACGGTGGGTTTTGCACTTTGTCAGCCAGATACCGCAAGGGTTGCAGAGAAGCAGTTCTTGCCAGCTGGCCTTGTCCTCTGTTGTGAGAAGCCCTTTCTTGATGACGCGATGCTGAGTGGGTTTTTCGTTCTCATCACGCTGCGTAATCTCGATGGCGGTAATTCGACCCGGCTTTTCCGAGTATTCAACATACTCGGGGACTCCTTCGCGATCCTGAACCCAAATCTTGCGCCACGTAGGAGTTTCAATGGCCCCACAATTACTGCAGAAGGGGGGCATGGTGCCGTTCATGATCGCCTCCTCCAAACGTTGCTTAATGGCGTGCTTTTTGACAATGTTCTTGTTCGTCCTATTCTCAGGTGATGAAGGCGGAGGCAGAATGGGTTCGCTGGGTGGTATGCTGGCCTCGGGTAGATAGAGAGTGTCCGGACGCGCGAATGGGGCTAGAGCATCACTGGCTGGTACTATTTCCATGACCGCATCCGATTTGCCGAGCTGAGCATCCGGCACTTGAAAATCGGTGATATCGTCTTCAACAACGGCTGCTTGTGTGAGGGTTGATGGACCAGCAGGCTCACTCGCGGGCGTGTTGGGCAGCATGAGCGGACCAGCAGAATTTGAACGAGCTAGGGGCGTTTTGGCCTTGAGAACTGGAGTTGTGGAGGCTGGTGGTTGAGACGATGGTCGTTGCCTGTGATTCGCGGCTGGCTGAGCCACTGGTTCAGGGGCAATTCTCCGGATTTCCTTTGCCTCGGCGGGGACTTCGGGATAGTCTGCCAATGGTGTAGGAGGCTTCTCGGCAGCATCGGTGGTGGGAGGCGGTGTCGGAGCCATTCCCGGCGGTGAGGGCATGTGATCCTTCCGGACAAGAGCGCCGACAGTAGAGTGTTGCGGCGCGGACTGTTTCAGAGGGGGCAGCTCGGGCGGTGTCTGCTGTTCTGGCCGCTGCTGTTCTGTGCTTTGCAGCGTTGGTTGCTCCCGCTGCTGCTGCGCTGGCTGCTCCCACTGCTGTTGCGCCGGTTGCTTCCACTGGCGCTGCGCTGGTTGCTCCTGCTTCTTCTGCGCTGGTTGCTCCCGTTGCTGTGGTGTTCCCGGATATCCCGAGTCGTAGCTGCAAATATGAACCAGATCCTGGCCGTCCGGCCCATCCTGCATTTGGAAAACCTGAATCGGGACATTTCTGGAGACGACCTTGGTCTGCGCCTTTCCTTTGCGCGCCCGCGACGGAGCCTTGCGATTGCTGACGGTTTGCTGAGGAGGCGGCAGTGACTCCTCAGCAAAGAGTTCCATATTCTCCGACAAGAAACTCGCGTCATGCGGCATCTTGGAGGGCGGCATTGGGGGAAGGACGGGACTCGAAGGGGGAGGGCTGGATCGTAAAAAAGGAGTGTCGCGCTGAACCGGTGGTGAGGAACCAATGTCAGGTGGGCTATCCTCTGAGAAGGCTGGGGTAGGGCCCAGAGATTCTGGTGAGCGACCGTCATCCTGGGGCGACGGAGGACTCCTCGCATCAGCGTCGGCGGATTCTGAGTAGCTGAATGTTTGTTTGCCCAGAGCTGACTCACGCCTTATCTTGGAGGTTCGGCCCGGGAAGACCGGAGCATTGGGAACAGGAGTAGGAGCACGTGGCACTCCCTGAAGATGGCTACCTGCAGCGCCCTCACTGTTTGTACCAACGGGACGGAAGTTTCGTAGTGAGCCAGACGTGCTGGCAGTAACGCGTAGAGAGTCTGAACCACCGGCAAACGGGTTGGGCTTGTCGACCTTGGTTGGTTTGGCACGTTTCTTGGCAGGGCCATCCTCTGCCTCGGTGCAGTCCTCGTACCCAGACGTGTTGCCCTCGACGGGGGTTTTCCTAGGGCGTCCGCGGGGGCGGCCCGTGGGCTTTCGTTTTCGGGGCGCTCTGTTGGAGGCTCGGCTTGAAGGTCGCGATGAGCCACCTTGGTTGTCGGGAACAGTGCTGGGATCGACCGGGATGGGCGCAACGCGCTGAATGTCATTGATGTTGTTCTGCATGACGGGGCCAAACGAATCACGTCCGGCTGTGGCGGCGGGAGGGCCATGGGACATGGCTGGCGAAGCTACTCTGGACACGTGTTGTGGCTGGCCCAGTTGTGGGTTTGACTGGATAAAAGAATTCCACTCGGCGGCACCGCTAGGGGTCATGACCATATCGAAGCTGTCTGTTTGCCATTGGGGCTTGGCGGATCCGGATAAACGAAGCCTGACCTCGAGCGTCTCCCGGTTGCCACCGTTAAAGACACCAAGCACATTATTCGTGATGCGTCCGGTGACGAGCTTGGGTTGTTGGCCGGGGAGGTCGCCGCGGACGAGGGAGTCGAGGGCCCACGAGAGCATGCCCTGGCCGACGAGGGGCGTATCTGGTTCTGAGTAATCGAGGGCGTAAATTGTGTAATCGCAATCTTGACCGCCAAGTTCTGGACTGCATTCCGAGACGGCCTGGATACAAACGCGAAGGTCGACGACGCCAATCGAGGTAATTTCGTCAAGGGCAATGGTCTGTACTTGGATGGTATGAGGATATCGGGCAAGACAGTTGACCTTAGCATCCTTATCAAAAGTGTAATGTACTTTTACTGAAGGTCGTGTGTTAGCATGGAGATGGGCTGAGGGAGGCAAGGTCGGCGGGAGGAGGACGTACAGCCCATGGACCTGACCTGAACGCCATTGCTGTCGGGCTCGGCGGGAGGCGTCGGCTGGTGGTGAGCGTTGCCATTCCAACCAGCGCCCATGGCGGAGGCAGGCCGCGGCGAGGCCATGGCCGCTGAAAGCTCGCAGACGAGGCCAACAGCAGCAAAATGGGCTGATGAAGGTGGAAATACGAGCGTTTGTTCGACCGGCGAGGCGGGTATGGTGCGGTATCAGGGTCGGCGGGTTGCGAAAGAAAACGAATTATCGAAGGTTTCGAGGGAGTTGTAGATGAGAAATCGGAGGGTACTGGAGATGAATTGAAAATGGTAAGAAGTGGTTCCCTGGTTCAAACTTGGGGAGGCGGGCGCCCATATACGTGACGCGCCGAAGCAGAACGGGCTCGCCAGAGTCGCGTCCGCCGAAGTGGATCTTGGGCGCTTTTTATCCGTGCAGGCAAGAGAGACAAGGGTTTTTGGCTGGAATTGAAGCGGGGGAGATGAGGCTGGCAGGATGAAAAGCGGAGGCGAAGAAGATAATAAATGAAAAAAAAAAAAAAAAAACTAAGGAACAAAGAGCCATTGCGGCGGGTGAAGAATAAATGTTTTTGTGAAGCAGCGGCGACGGTGATGGGTGTTGTGCTGGGGGGGCGGACGGGCGGGCTATTGGTGCAACGAGCCACGGCCAGTGTGGCTACGAACGAGCAGCAAAGGGCTCATCGAAAGCAAAACGGCAAAAAAAAAACAAAAACACAATGTCTTCTTCGAGACATGTTTTGAACTTACAAGGAAAGGAAGCGATTGGCTTCAACAAGACGCAGTGGTGACGTGCTTGGTCGGCAGCGGATTTATTAGCGCCAACGCTGAGCGGTCGGGACCTGTCACTGGCTGAAAGGTGGTACAACGCTGCAGCGGTCGCTGGTTGGCGTCGGCGGCAAAAAAAAAACGCGATGATGCACAACGTCGCGTGCGCCCCGCCCCGGGTAACAAGGTATGTACCTTTTCACGCGGGATTCGCGGAGGGAGTGACCTGCGGGGAGATCTGAACTGACCATTAGCGTGTTGTACTTTTTTATGGAGCCTCTCTCGTCTGCGATTATGCTGGCAGGTTGCCGTCGACAAGAAACCAAAGTCTCTGAGATGATGGATCGAGACCTCTGGTTGGCCATTTTTTTCTTCCTCTTGTCCGAAAGCTTCCCGCTTATCAGACAAACCAATGCCCCCCCAAAGGCCAACCTCGGCGGGCCCGGTTGTCCCCCGGCCAGCAACTCGCAATCAAAAAGCACATACCTCGGCGTGACCTGACACTGATATGACACGGCTCCTGGCCAGCAAGCAGCCTTCTTTCTCGTTTTGGCCCTTCTCTGCTTTCGTAATCACAACCTTGTCGTCGTCACTTCTTCTTGTGACAGAGTCCGGGTGGCGGCCTGGGCTTCTCTTGGTCAACCGCACCAGTGGCCTTCTTTTCCCTTTTCTTCTTCTTTTCAGTGCCCAGTCTGGTCTCGAATTCGCTCCGTGAAAGAGTGAGTTTCAATTCCCTCTTTTGCGGACGTTTCTGGGGGGCCCTCGCCTCTTATACTTTTCCACACTTCTGTCTGCCTGCTTGTGCCTTTTGCTTCACAACGATGCCATCGCCAGGCCCGTGACCTTGTCTTCGCGAGGCTGTCACATCCTCCCCTCCCACCACCAGTCAATGACCCATTCATCCCATTTGTTACTGAAGCCATCTTCGGCATCTTTTGCTCGCCCAGTCTCCCACCTCCCGCTTCCTTTTGCCCCTCTCCCACCCTCCATCACACCATCACGCACCATCACCCACCTATCTGCGCCCATTTTTTAGCAGTCGTCGTAGTGCCCCGTATCACAAATGAGGCACCCATTTTGCGCCATTTTTCACGGCGACAATTATTTTCATGGTGTTTGCACTCACTCATCCCCCCAACCCCACAATTACATCACGCAACATTAAATCCGATACCATCGTCAGCTGCCTCAAATCTTGACAAAATGAACAGTTTTTTTCTCATGGGATTTATTTCACCTGTGAATCATCATGTATTCCTTTTCACCTGTTGTACGCTGTATTTGATCTTGCCATATCCCGATATTGGTAGGCGTGAATGAGAATGCACACGTCCTTGATCGTGCGGCCTTGCAATAAGTGATCAAACACACCCAGACGAAACTGCCCTACCAGTATTGAACAGACTTCAAAAGCGTCCCGAATGCATGTTTCAGCTACACGTCCAAGCTGCCTTTAAACCGACATGCTTGGGTTGAATCTATTCATGACTCGATGTTTTAATGCTCTCATGGTGCCGTCCATTATCAACCCGACAACGTGGCCAGATACTGCGACTATCTATCATCTCACGCCGCTGCATTACCATCCAAATGTGATGCGCCAAGGTTAACAAGCACCCCACGGCTTGGGAGCTCGATATATATTCAAGTTTCTACAGCGGCTAGTATACACGTGGGAAAAGTCATCCCTTCCTTTACAACTTGCTCGACGAGCCCGTCTCGGCCTCTACCCACGTGGCCACGCCGTTGGCGTCGGCGACGACCTTGCGGCTGATGATTTCGTCGACAATCGTGGCGATGCCCTGGCGGCCGTTGCGCGACGCGACGACCTTGTCGGCGAGCTGCTGCGGCGTCAGCGCGGTGCCCTGCACGACGTCCTTGATCTCGCGCTCCGAGGGCACGCCGAGCAGCGGGTGGGGGTAGTCGCTAAACGTGCGGTCCGAGAAGAGCCCGAGGGACTGCTTCTCGTCAAACGCGAAAAAGGGCTGCGCGACATTGTCGCTGGCGGGGATGGCGTCGAGCGACGCCGGCTGCCACTGGGGCGTCTCCTTGCGCACGAGCAGCGCCGTCACGCCCTCGGAGAAGTCGTGGTGGCGCATGAAGCGCGACGCAATCTGGTGCTCCCGCTCAAACGCCTCGGCAATGTCCCAGCGGCCGCCGACGCGCATCTGGCGCAGCGCGACGTGCACGGCCGTCGGCGAGCGCTTCTGCAGCGTCGCGAGCTGCTTCTGCGCCCACGCCTCCGTCTCGCCCGTCTCCTGGCGCAGCGCCGCGATAATCTCGGCGAGCGTGTTCTTGTCGAAGCAGCGGTCGATGGCGCGGCGCGTCGCGCCGGCCAGCGCCATGGGCTGGTCGTGCGGCAGGCCAGTGGCAAACTCCTCGAGCGTCTCGCCGACGAGCTGAAGGCGGCGCGCGGGCGCGTCGTCGTCGCGGAAGCGCAGCTCGGCGAGGCGCGCCTCGAGGGCCGGCAGGCTCGTCGAGTGCAGGTAGTGCGTGGCGACGCCGCTGAACAGGACGTTGGCGCCCGTCAGGCGCTCGCTCGTGAGCGCCAGGTACGTGCCGACGGCGCCGTTCATGCGCGGCAGGAAAAACGAGGCGCCCACGTCGGGGAAGAAGCCAATCGTCGTCTCGGGCATGGCGAAGACGGTCTTTTCCGTCGCGACGCGGAACGGCGCGTGGATGCTGAGGCCGACGCCGCCGCCCATGGTGATGCCATCCATAAAGGCAACGTACGGCTTCTGGTACGTGGCAATGTAGTGGTCGAGCTTGTACTCGAGCGCAAAGTACTCGGCGGAGCGCTTCCAGCCGTCGGCGCTCTCGAGGTTCCACTGCGCCAGCGCGGCCACGTCGCCGCCCGCGCAGAGGGCCTTTTCGCCCGCGCCCTTCATGACGACCACGTTGGCGAGGTCCGACTTTTCCCACTCCACCATGCGCGGCACAATCTTGCGGATCATGGACCCGTTGAGCGAGTTGAGCTTCTTGGGGCGGTTGAGCATAATCGTCCGCAGGCCGTACTTGTTCTGGAAAACGACATCGTCGGCTTCGTCACCGGGCAGCTCCTTGATATCGTACGCTTCGGTCGAGAGCTGAGACGCATTCTGTTAGCAGCTAGCCAATGAGTAGGAGGACGATGGGGGATTTTTTTTTTGCGTACGTGTCTGGCCCCCAAGGGCACGGATCGTGCTCGTTGCGCCATGGCGAATGTGGTGGTGTAGGTTGACGGGTTGGCAGCTCTTCCGGCACGGAGAGCAATGGAGCGGAAAGACATGACAAGAGGAATTGACAAGGCGAAGCAAGTCACCCTCCTTTTATCGGGCGTGTGTGTGTGCGTCAGCCGGGCTAAAGGGTCGGCCGAGGTTGAGAGGTGGGCAGCGGCAAGATGGGACGTTCCGGTATCCTGTTGAATGGCTCTTCTCCTCTTCTCCGCGCACGCTGCTTTGCTCTCCAGTGTCCACCAGAAAAAAAGTTAGCCCGAGGGTAGCAGAGACTTGCCGCCTTTGCCCAGGAGTTCTGGCTTTGCCTGGCTTTACCCAGAAGTGGGCTTTTGGCACGTCGAATCTGGTGGAGACGTTCCTGGGTGGGCGCCAGCCAATCAGGTGCTGCGGCCACCCTCGTACCAAATCTATGAGTTTTTGAGCATGGGCAGAGACAGCAGCACCACCAAAAGCTTCGTCTGTCTGGAACGCCTCGAATCAACCTTTCGTTCCCATTCAACCAGCAAACCCCCCCTCCGGCACCCACACACATTATCATGGCGGACACCAAGCCCATCGAGTATGAAAGCTCTCGGCGCATGCTACTCTCTCGCGCAACCCCGCCTTTGCTAATCCCATCCTTTTCTTCTAGGGAGCTCCTCACCAAGCCGCGCAACGAGCTCACGTACGCGAAAAATCCCACCCCGGCCCAGGCCAAACGAAGGCTTTTCGTCCGAATGCTAACATGTAAAACCCCCAATCCTGCAGGGAATACGAAATCGCGCAGCTCGAAGAGCACGAGTTCTCCGCCGGCCCCCTCTCCATCCTCCAGACCGCCGTGCGGTCGCACGTGCAGGTGCTCATCTCCATCCGCAACAACCGCAAGCTGCTCGCCCGCGTCAAGGCCTTTGACCGCCACTGCAACATGGTCCTCGAGAACGTCAAGGAGATGTGGACGGAGACGCCGCGGCTGGCCGACGGCAAAAAGGGCCGCCCCGTCAACAAGGATCGGTTCATTAGCAAGATGTATGTCTGGCCCTCTGTGCCTCCTCGTGCGACCTCTTCCTTTCCTTGCTAACCGTCTTTCTTTTTTTTTCGTCTTGTTTAGGTTCCTGAGAGGTGATAGCGTCATTCTGGTACTGCTAAGCTAGAATCGGACAAAATATTCAAGGCATCTTTCTTTCTGGGGTTTCTTTTGCACCGCGTGGGCTTTGATTGTGTTTTTCATGAGATTGGGATGGGGGCTCTGGTTGGTTCCATGTACCGTCCTTTTGGCGAGACTCACAGGGCAATTTAGGCGTTAAAAAAATGACGATCTTGATTACGATTTCATTCCATTTGGTACTTGGTGACCCTCGGTAACAATGACTGCGTACTTGCTACTGGGATACCTCGACAGCCAGTTCTGCACACTGACCTGAACACATGCACACTAAATACCTGCCAGGCCCTCAAAGAGGCACGCGAGACCCCACGCGCCCGGGTCAGGCACCTCCTCGTAGCCGCTGCCGCCGACGTACACGGAGCGGCCCAGACTGGCCTTCATGCCCTTTGTCGCCTCAGCGGCCTCGCGCGCCGCCCGCGCCGCCTGCGCGACGTCGCCACCAGCCGCCAGCGTCTCGACAAACGGGTACAGCGCGTCGACGAGCGTGCGGTCGCCGGGCCGGGCCGGCGTGTACCGCGCGAGAGCGTCGCAGCTCTGCCGGAGCGCGGCCGCCCACAGCCCCAGCGAGGCGGCGCCCGGCGCGCGCGCGCGCAAACCGTGTACGAGCGCGTTGAGGAAGATGGCGTAGAGCGCGCCAGAGGTGCCGTCCATGGTGCTCTCCACGACGCGCACGATGCCCGCGACGTCGACGACGAGGTCGCCGCTCAGCGGGCGCGTCTCGAGGTGCTTCAGCACGGCTGGTTGTTTCAACATTGTTAGCACGCTGGACTGCAGTGTTTTTGGTCACAGGGATGAAAACGTACCCTCGGCGCCGCGCTTCATACCGATGCCGCAGTCGCCGTCTCCGACGACGGTGTCGTATCTCGTCACGTCCGGTTCTGCCGCAATGACCCTTTTCAGCGCCGCCGTCAGCGCCTCCTTTGCCGCCACCGTATCATACGTCAATCCGCTCGGCTTGGCCTCTCCCTCTTGCCTCTTCACCACCGCCGGCTCCTCGGCGCGTCCGGCCGCGGCCTCCCACGTCGTCCGCTGCACCGGCGCCGACCACCCCGTCACCTCAGACGGCGCATCCAACAGCTCCACCATGTTCGGCGCCGCCGCGGCACCGCCCGCGACACCCGTGTTGACCACGTTGAGCAGCGAGATGCTGAAGCCCATGCCGTTGAGGCTCGTCATAAAGGTGCCGCTGATGACGCGCACGGGGCGTATGCGGTGGGCGTCGCGCAGCTGCGCGACGACCTCGCTCGTGATGGCGCCCATCTCGAGCGGGCTGACGCCGCCGAGGTTGTTGACGAGCAGCACGACCTCGTTGGAGTTGACCGTGAGGAACGCGCGGTCCGCGTCGGTGCCGTCCAGCAGCTGCGCGAGCATCTTGGTAACGAGCGCCGGCAGCGCCAGACGCGCCTTTTCGCAGCCGGCCTCGTTGTGGATGCCCATGCCGATCTCGACCTCGCCGCGGGCCAGGCCGTCCTCGTCCACCACCGCGCGGCCCGGCACGTGGACGTGCGCCAGGCTGGCGCCGACGCTGACAGTGTTGTCCGCCGCGAGCCTCGCCACGCGGGCCACGTCTGCGAGCGGCGCGCCGCGCGCCGCCAGCGCACCGGCAATCTTGAGCACGAGCACCGTGCCGGCGATGCCGCGCCGCCCGACCTTGCCCCCGCGCGCGCGCCCGACGCCGACGTCATCGCCGACAACGACCATTTCGATGGCGACGCCCGCGCGCGCCTGCTCCACCGCCATGCCAAAGTTGAGCACGTCGCCCGTGTAGTTCATGACGACGACGAGCACGCCGCGCCCGCCCGCCGCGCCCACGCGCGTCATCAGCGCCTGACGCACCTGTTCAGCTGATGGGCTCGCAAAGACGGTGCCCGCGACCGCGGCCGTCAGCATGCCCGGGCCGACCATGCCGGCGAAGGAAGGCTCGTGCCCGGACCCACCGCCGGCGAGGAGCGCGACCTGCGGCGCGGCGTGCGGCGACGGGCGCCGGTAGACAATCTTGTGCTCGGCGTCGAGTGCGACGTGCGGGTTGGTGAGCGTGAGGCTGTGCAGCGCCGAGTGGACGAGGTCCGTGGCGTCGTTGATGAAGTGCCGGGACGACATGGTTTGGGGGGATGCGGGGTTGGTTGCCTGATGTTGGTTCTTGGGGAGGAAGATGGGTCCAGGACTAATGGAGTTTGAAGTGAATGGAACTGGCAAGTGAAGAGTAAACGATGATAAATAATGCGTTGCAGGTAGGTGCTGGAAAGAGGAGCTCGAGCTGTTCAAGTGTTGACATGTTGGGGGCAAGGTGGGGGTTTGACAGCTCCCACCGTTTGCATTGCGGGGTGAGCTGTCAAGGGCAAACGGCGTGGGGGATTTCTCGGACAGAGGGATGTATTCAGCCTGGAAAAATAAAGCTAGTCTTGCGTGCAAAAGCTGGAGCAACTCATTAATGTAGGTAGTCATTAGATTTGAGCATGTTTATTCGAGCCTATCTTGGAACCCCAACCGTGACGTACATGATCCCACATGTCGCATCGCGGTACGTCTTGGCAACCGTGCCTTTCAAGGTATTCAACGCCGTATCTTTGCCGCTGTTTCTTTTTTTTACACTATGTACAAGGAGAAACGTAGCAAATCATGAAAAGGATCGCGCGTTCCAGTGCCTTAAAAACAATCCGCACCTGCCCAATAATCGAGGATATAAAAAGACAAAACAAAGGACGGGAAAGGGAAAGGAATGAATGATGAATAGGGAGAAGAACCGATCACCTGGGCGGCGGTCTATGCAAAGGAAAGGACATCGCTGGTGACAAAGAAGCTGCCAGCTAGGATGCCAGCGGCAATGAGAATGGTGAGAATGGCGGCGCCGGCTCGGTCGCCTGCGGTAATGGCCCGAGGTTCCGGTAGGGGTTGGGCCTGGGAGCTGCCCGCACCAGCGTCGCCCTTGGACGTGCCGCGATCCTGTTCCGTGGCGGGGACCTTGACGTTGGGGAGTAGGTTGTAGAAGACGGCGGCGAGGGCGTCCATTTGGGGCCCCACGCCCATCAGACCGTCGTTGGTCCCGTTAAGCCAAGAGAAGCCACATCCCGTGCCGTCGGGACCGGGATATGAGGCGCCGTTGGCGCCGTTGCAAACTTTGACGGCGTCTGAGGCGGCCGTGCTGATGAGCTTGGTGATGGAGTCCGAGGTCCAGGGCGCTACTTTGGACGTGTAGGCGAGGAAGCGAATCAGGTAGCCCTTGAAGCTGACCATGTTCTGGTCGCAGGTGTGGACAGTCTCGCAAGCAGGCTCGTACATGATGCCGTCCTTGAAGAAGACTCTCTCGGTATAATTGAGGATGCCGTTGACGTGGCCCTTCCAGACATCGGTCTTGTTATAATCGTACATGGCGGCGGCGCCTTGGAGCCAAACGCCGGCATTATAGGTAAATTGGACCTGATGGATATTCTTACAGCTCTGGGTGGCGTCGTCGACTTCGATGCCGTCGTAGATGACGTAGTCGCTAGTAATTAGACCCTCCTTGACCTCCCAATCGTAAATTTTCTGCGCCCAGTCAGCGTAGGTAGAATTGCCGGTGAAGCGGGCGAGGCGGGCGGCAATATTGAAGAAGCAACCGTTGGAGATGCTGTTCTTGTAAGCCCAACCGTTGAGGAAAGAGTAGACCTGCCAGCGGAGACCACCGCCGCAGAGGCCGTTCTCTTCCTCCCAACGAACAGCATATTCGTTAAAGACGGCCTGGACACCAGCGAGCCATTGAGGCGTGTCGGAAGGCGGGTTCGGAAAGACGGCTTCGGCAGCCATCATGGATGTGAGAGCCCAGAAGCCTTGATCATCGTTGCCCATGGCATTGGTCTGGTTGACAGGGAGGTAGTCGCCCTTGGGGGTAATTTGATGCATCATGCCCTGCATGGTCACGTCATTGTACGACGCATCTCCGGTATAGTACCAGTAATCGATTAGATGGCCAAACATGCCACCAGCCTCCCACCCTGATTGCGACAAATTGTTAGCAGCCAGTACGTTTGGAAAGCGCGGGGCGAGTCAATTCTGGGGGAGAGCGTCGCAACATACAGTAGTATTTCCCGGGCAGCAGACCGGGGATGCCGCCAGTGACGTTTCCATTGTAGTATTTCATCAAGCCATATACGAGGGTGCTGGCGGTGCTTTTGATGGAGCCTGTCGACACACAATGCGCTGGTTAGCAACCGAGAGAGAGAGTGACCGGGCAAGGGCGAAAAGCAAGTCGGGCGGCAAACGTACTATCGCTGGTGAGGTCGAGGCTGATCTGGGCGGCCGACGCCGTGGCCGAGAGCCCGACAAGGGTCGCAACGATGGCGGAAGCCTTCATTGTGAATTGGAGAATGACAAACTGGCAGTCGTCTAGTTACTCGGGCGCGATGCGACGGGCGATGATGGGTAATTTTGAGTCGGTCGCGTGGTCGGGACGGGCGAGCAGGGATTGAAGCAATGAACGGGTGGGTGGGGAGACGGGCCGTTCACGTCATGCGCTGAGGGAACTTGATGAGGAGAGAAACGGGCAGCGCATGAAAGTAGGACAGCGGGTTGGGGCGCTTAAAAAAGGTCGAAGGGGGTGGAAAAGCGAGCGTAGCGAGAGGGCGGAGGAGAGGCGGTTGAAGAAAACGGGCGACGTTTAGGAACGAATTGAGGTTAAAAAGTAAGCATGCGAGAAGAGGGATAACTAGGTTAGTAGGTACGGAGAAGGGCAGGCTCAAGGTTTTCCGCCGAGTCGTTGTTCGGTGCGGGAGAGCGGGCAGCCGACGCTGGAGACAAGACACAACGCCCCCAAGAGGTACACGAATTTCGCGGAGGAATGCTATACACGCGCAAGTCACTGCAAGGTACACGCCATCATCTGTGACGAGTCTGGGGGCCACGAGCAGCGTGACTAGAGACTGGAGCATGCCGCCTGCAAGTTGCCACACATGTGCCTATATTTTGGGGTGGCGCTAGTTGACTGTCAGGCTGGAAAACAGAGCCAGTTTTTCCTCTTGTCCACGTCCTAATAATGAACGTGACTGCTGCGAGCTCGCACAATCCAGTCCTGTAGTGCCGTCTTGCCCTTGTCTGGGCGATCTGGCAAGCATCTTGGCGACGATTTACAGGGCCAATCTACTACTAGGTACCTGTTACCCTGCGCTGCCCCCATCCTACTACTCCGTACAGGCTGCACAGTGCCCACTACCAGACTGCACAGTACGGATTTGTACCGCATCACCTCTTAGGAGGTATTATGCAGCAGCTTCTTTACGAGCCACAAAACATCCTCACTTGTCAACATCTCTACATTCAATACATACACATGCCTTCTTCCGAGCCGCAGTACCCGATATCCATGACGTCGCCAGTTCGTACCTCGTCTAGCGCTTGCAACCAGCAGCCCGTCTCCAGCTGCCGGATGCAGCCATGGAAAGGAAAAAAAGGGGACCGAGAAACACTACGAATAAAAACGCTTGGCACGGCTCTGAGAATCCGGCTTGGCTGAAAGTGGCACACCACACACCACACACACGAGGCCTACATATAAACTCTCCCCGGCAGCGGCATTATTTAGGTGCCGTTTTATGCCTGACGCGACAGCTTTTCTCACCACCCCATAATTCATATCCACCAAGCAAAACGAGAAGGAAAAGAGCGACAAATTTAGAAACTCGACTCTATGCATCGTAACCACGCAACTAGCCCCCGGAGCCGGAACGGGGGCGCCGGTGGAGGTGACCTGCCTGCCGAAACGAAATTGCCGCAGTTGATCCGGCTGCGCCACAATGTACCATTCGCGGCGGTTACGAATACCGTGCTTTCAAGCCATTGTCGTCTACATGGATGGAATGTAGGGTGTTGACCTTGACTTGACACCATTGAAGACGAGGGCACACCTGCCCAACAGCCTGTTACACCTGGCACGGAAACAGGCCAGTTCGTGGCGCAATATAGTACAGAGAGAGATTAATTAACTCGATCGACTCGCCACTTGGTACCTGCATGGTTGCCCCAGGGGTTTGATCGCGGTGAAACCATGCCAAGGCACAGGGCTGTCTCCTGCGGCAGCCGACAAGGGCAGGCACCAGATCCCACAAAGCTGCAACACCAAACATCATGCGTGCTCCATTGCCAAACACTTTTTTCTTCTCCTTGTTGCTGGTGTTTTGCTGTCAGAGTCGCCTAGTGTGGTTTCTCTCAGCAACTCTTGAGGGGATGTCGTGCTCAATATTGTTGCCAAGCTGCTGGTCTGATTGCTCGCAATCAAATTCCATCCCGTAAATTCTACTAATTGCCGTAACTATTCTATATTGTCTTCTTCTCTCGTCAATGAGAACCTATCTTCTTAAACGCTACATTGTACTCGTAGACACAACCCAACTCCCACAACAAAACATACAGTTGCATCGGTACCAACCGTCACATCTACCAACATCTCATACCTGCACCCGCACTATTCCAAAAGATATGCAAACCTTTCCTCTATCTGCTTGCGGCCCGCCTCCATCCCCGCCAGCACATCCTCGTCGCTCATCGTCGTCAGCGTCTCGACATCGACCTCGCGCCTCTCCAGCGTCTTGACCGCCACGTAGCACCCGGCCGTCGCGACCGCGCCCCGGACCGCATCGCGCACAAACGCGGCCCAGCCGCGATACGAGACGCGCGACGCCTCGGTCCACGTCAGCACCATGGCGAAGCAGTGCGGCATCGCCTCCCACTGCTCCCACACGACGGCGACGCCCTGCCGCGCCATGCGCCGCGCCACCGTCCGCGCCTCGTCCGCGAGCAGCTCCTCGCCGCACACGAAGAAGACGGGCGGCGCGCCCGCCCACGACGCCGCCGCCATCGGCGACACCAGCGGGTGCGCCAGCGCCCCGCCTCGCAGTACAGGTGC